CACATGTTAGCAATGGGGGGTTTGATTGTTTGGAGGAAACAGGAGTACTAGGAGAAAACGCACGTGGTCGGGCAGGTGACCCCATACATTTTCATGTCTGATAGGGGAATCGAATCCCGGCCGCCTTGGTGAAAGGCAAGTCTGCTATCCACTGCAACATCAACTATTTTGCTTGATAGAAATTTCTCTTATTGATAACTCTTCGGTTTAGACATAAACAGCCTTTATTATTTCTGTAATAAATATGTTTATACAGACTACATTACTGTCTCACTGCTTATTTATTGGAAAGAAATCTGCCTGCTACAGGAGATGCCAATGAACTCTCCCTCCTTGTTTGCTGACTGGTACAGTGATGATATTTATGTGGGAGGATATATACCTCATGCTGCCAACAATGAATTATTTTGTGTTAGAGCTTTTAAAGTTATTGATGCTGTAAGTAGGATTATATAGTGTGATTTTTTTTCTGTTTAGCTTCAACTGGTCAATTGTTCAAAATCGATTGCCTGACCAGAATAAAATGTTGCCCAGTTGTATATGATTTCAAAAGAGTTAGTAATCATCATACAATTTAGTGACTTAAAGCAAACTGCAGGCCATCTGCTGTGTAATTAGATGTTTCATTTTGAATGTTTTGAACTTATCTGCCATTACATTGATAACGTAGAAAGAAGAATATTTTCAATAGCAATAAGATTATACATAGGGGGATATGTATTGGTTTCCTGACAAATAACAGTGATATTTTGTTATGGATTGCCTTGCAATACTTTGGTGTATTTACTGTATGCAGTGTATATATGGGTAAGGTTTCTCACTCAGGAGCCTGAAATTCCATTAAGATGATGTCCTTCTGAGGAAGGAACTGAACTCTACTCTCTACTCCTTCTCTGATGATATGACATTAGCTGTACTACAGTGTATGAACCTTTTTTGTAGCAAAAGTACCAAACAAACCATCAGCAGTTCCATGTATGAGTGACCATTGTAATTATTCAGTGCAAGACACTTAAAAAGACTCGGAAGTGGGATCAGATATCCATTTCAACACTAGGGTGTTTCTGAGGGATCAGACTGGACATTGTCAAAATAACACAAAAACTCGCGTAGTTTTAATTCAAATACTTCAAACTGCCTACTCCAAAAAAATGGCAAATCGATTGCTTTTGAGTCGAAGCCTTGTGGCAATGTCTGTGATAATTGTGGAAAGACACTGAGTGATGCTGTGATACGTTACTGTGTTGTTTGTGTACAAATACAGGGTGTCATCGGGCCAGATGTGACACAGCAACATTCTGTTCAGACCAGAAGACTTTCGATAAATATTTAATATTTGTGACAGGAGAAGAACATGTATATGATGTCATCACATTTTACAGGGTAGAAGATTTACCCGAGACTTTAGAAAAGAAGTTAAAGGACAAGAAATTATTTGGCAACACAATACCAGAGTTTGTTAACCCTACATACAGCAAATGTGTACCGGAACTTTTCATCACAGGCATGAAGCTATCCCCAGACCATAGGTACATAATTATGCTAATGCTGGAATTGATATTTTCCTCCCCATATAATGCTTATTAGCCGCAATCAGTTACAGTTTTTGAAAATTTCTTAAAAAATGACTTTTTAGGCTTTGTAACAATTGCAGTGTTGTTGAAAATAAATTTAAACTGTAAGTGTCAAAGTGCATTCTTTAGTTTTGAACAGACTTGGAGACGTGTATTTATTACGTACCTAGACTCATTATACTATTTGTGCGCAATCCTGTCCCGAATTATAGGACTTTCACACAAAATGTAGTTTAATGCTTTAATAGCAGCACAACTTCCAGGAGTGGACTGACCATGCCAGACTGTCTTGTAGGCTGAGCATTATTTCAATATTTTAACATTGTGAATTGGAGGATAACCCTTGTGTATTTTGAGATTTGTCTGTTGACGTTAAGAGGTCACAAGGGGTTCTCAGATTTCCCAGCCGCAAACTTATGTCTTGATTCCTGTCCGATTGTGGATTGCTGTCAGGACTATGTTGCTAGGTAAGTGTAAGTGTTGATTGCTGCCAGGACATGAGTGATAAGTAAGAAGCGTCTGGAATGGTATCGGGCTTTTGTTGCTTAGTGACCAGCTTGAAATGTCTCACAAAGATCCACGAGGTATAGAGTATCCTGTAATGACAGCTTAATTGCTGTTACATTTGTTTTAAAAAAATGACGTTGACCACTTTTGAAGCTCATTGTTATAACATTGAACAACAGATGAGGGATATATGCCCATTGTTTTTTTTTGTCATGATTTCCGTGTTTTAATAACAGTTCTCAGATTTTCCGCTAGATTTCTATTATTTTTCAAAGTAGAAGAATTGAATAAGTGTGTTCTTACATAAAAAGGAGGGTTTTATACCTAGATGAGTATTTTACAGTGGAAGTGAGAAAATTCTGGGCTACCTGTTGGACCGCCGTTATCATACCTGTCTGGCCAAACTCCAGCACTATAAGGGTGTGGTCAATGGTGACCAAGAGTGCCTTGTCACCGTTGGTGACGACCGCATCATCAATATCTGGCGATCCATAAACAGACAGAAACAACTTGAAGAACACATTCATAGTTCTCAAATATATTACAAGATACCATTTCAACACAATTTGACTTTAACAGATACATTCTCAGATGTAAGAATCGAACAGTATTTGTACTGTCCTACATGTGTCTGAATGTGCTCTAATAATATGGTAGTTAATTTTTTAAGCGTACTAAAATGTGGTTAACAAAGAACATACATTAGAAAAAACTATTACTACTATAACTCTAGACATACTGTAGAAGTGGGCTATCATAAATATACAGTAGTGGGTTACCGTAAACATAAATAGAAGTGGGTTACCGTAAACATCAACAGAAGTGGGTTACCTTAAATATAAATAGAAGTGGGTTACCGTAAACATGAATAGAAGTGGGTTACCGTAAACATAAATAGAAGTGGGTTACCGTAAACATAATTAGAAGTGGGTTACCATAAACATAAATAGAAGTGGGTTACCTTAAACATAAATAGAAGTGGGTTACCGTAAACATAAACAGAAGTAGGTTACCTTAAATATAAACATAAGTGGGTTACCGTAAACATAGACAAAAGTGGGTTACCTTAAACATAAATAGAAGTGGGTTACCGTAAACATAAATAGAAGTGGGTTACCGTAAACATAAATTGAAGTGAGTTACCGTATACATAAATAGAATTGGGTTACCGTAAACATAAATAGAATTGGGTTACCGTAAACATAAATAGAAGTGGGTTACCTTAAACATAAATAGAAGTGGGTTACCTTAAACATAAATAGAAGTGGGTTACCTTAAACATAAATAGAAGTGGGCTACCTTAAACATAAATAGAAGTGGGTTACCTCGGACCGATAGTAGAATTAGGTATCATTGAACATGAGAAACAGTGGGTTACCTTGTAATGATGTTGGAAGTGGGATGCATTGAACACATAGAAGAACTAAGTAACCTACCAACACTCAATAAACTGGGTTATCGTATCGTGAACAGACTACTCTAAAGTGGGCGACAACGAACAGGCAGAAGCTTGAACTTAAGTAGAGATGGGTTCTATTGAACTAACAGTGGAAGCGGGTTTCCTTGAGCATGCGTAGAAGTTGGCTACCTTGAACAGACAGTGGAAGTGTGCTTAAAGGATAGACAGTGAAGTGGGGTACCTTAACTGATGGTTTAATACTTTTAACAAACAATATTTTAAATCCTACTCATGTTGGACTCAATGCAACTATCAATGTAACCTGTTTCATTTGTCGATGAATTTGACCAGATTAACATTGGCTATGCGTATGTTTTTCCGAAGGGAGATAACTATTGACATGTGGAGATTTTTTTTTTTTTATTGAAGCAACACAAGAAATTGTTTAAACAACCAAAAACGATCAATCAGCAAAATATTATCAGCTCACGGTTACTAGCGGTAGTGTCATGTACTGCCCCAGAAATTCTCCCTTCAGCTACCCATTCTGCCTTGTGCAACCCCCCGGTACAAATCGAAAATAACGTAGATCCTCAGGGGTTCGTCACACTTGTCTGAAATTCACATATCATACTATACCTGATACATAGGTCACAGCACACAAAACATACATATAAATGTATGTGTGCTGTGACCCAAATCAGTATAGCATATGTGTATAAATGTACGTTTATGTGTGTTGTGACCCATATCTGATCAGTATAGCATTTCAGACATTTGTAACGAATCTCTGTGGTAGAACCATGGGGTCCCGTCTTATATGAAATACAGTCGAACAGCCAAATGTCATATCAAATGTTTCGTCCTGTAAAGCTACGTTTGGTTTCCTGTCTAATTCGACATTCAATTACTGCAGCTTCACATTCCAGAAAATGAAGAATCTCGAGATTTAGCGGCTCTCCACTTCGAGTAGTAAAAATATGGCTGTTGTAGTCTCGCAGCTGAGCCTGTGCACCGCGTCTAGACATTGTTATTCCGCGATGACGCGTCAGAAAATTTGATATCCTATGAATTTATCAACAAAAATTAAATATGACATTTAAAATATGGTTTTGTGTTTTGTTTCTACATAATTTGGCATATCAACGTTCACCATCATGTTATATGATGGTGTTTCAATGACGGACTAGTTTTTACATTACGTCAATACGTAGACTTGCACAAGCTCCAGAACCTGGGACAAACGATCAGAATGGACTTCACAAGTTACAATCATTGAAAAAAACACGTTGATTGAAATATAAAGATTGAATCTTGATTTCATGGGGAGATGAATTGAGTTGGTCTTGAAACAAATTCAACATGAACTGCTTCTGCTTCGCAGTTCATTAAATTTGTTTCAAGACCAACTCAATTCATTTCCCATGAAATCGACCAAAGCAAGATTCAATGCTTAAATGGAAGTTGGTTACCTTGAACAGAAATTAGAAGTGAGTTACTTTGAACATACAATATAAATGATAGCGTATTTAAAAAAAACACACTTTTATTTTGATATATTTACATATTACATTTACATTTGATGTACTTTACTTTTCATTTGAATTATCTTAGTAACACGTTTAATAGATAAGGTGTGTCTCGACGTGCTTGTTCTAGGCCCATCATCTGTAGACTCTCTGTAGAGAGATGTATCAGCCAAATTTTACACGTATTTTAAAACAATCACATGTATCTGTGTCTCAACCAAATTGCCTTTGTGTTCCGATAAACTGACTCATTGATGTGTCTCTGCAAAACTGTATTTCGTTGTAGGGTATTTCGGCCGTTTGTTTGTACGTTGTATCTCTTTCAAACTGTCTTCGTCGAATTGTCCATTTGAATCGGTCTAAATGTATCGACCAACGGTCTTGTTGACGTGTTTCGGCCAAACTGTCCTTGTGTCGTGTCCCCGTTAAACTGTCTTGGTCAAAGTGTCTTGGTATATTGTACCAGTCAAACTGTTTTGGTGTCGTGCCCCACTCAAACTGTCGATGTTTATCGGCCAATTATTCCGGCAATACACTGTCTATGCGTCTGTAGATATCTGGTTGTTGTCCACCTGTATTGTCACACTTGCCCTCATGTTGCTCATCATCCTAGCAGCTTTGGATGCGAAGAGAACCCCTCCCACTGCAGCCTAAAATACACAAGAAATATGGCACTACCATCTATTCAAATTACTGTATGAATGATTGCTAGACAATAGTCGCGACACAATGTAAATTCACAGTCGACGTATAACATAACGACGGCTTTATATTATTCTATAAGGGAATAAACCCGAACCCGAAAATTGCATCGTTGTGTTGCCTTTATACGCTGCCTTATCGTTACTTTGATGTGCATTACCTTTGCGTCTTTGTGTTTTACCTTCATAGTGCTGTCTTATCATTACTTTGATGTGCCTTACCTTCGCGTCGTTGTTTTACCTTCACATTGCTGTCTTATCGTTACTTTTATGTGCCTTACCTTTGCGTCGTTGTGTTTTACCTTCACATTGCTGTCTTATCGTTACTTCGATGTGCCTTACCTTTGCGTCGTTGTTTGTTACCTTCACATTGCTGTCTTATCGTTATTTGACTTAACTTTATGTCGTTATATTTCACCTTTTCATCGATGTCTCACTTTCACATTGTAGTCAATTACATTCATGTGTCTTCACTTTGCATCATTTTCTCTTTGGCATGCACCTTCGCATTGTTGTTATATTATACGTTGTATTGAGTTTCAATTGTGTCCTTCACATTGCTGTGTGTTTATAATATTTCATGGTGATGCCTTATCTTTCACGTTTGGCCCAAAATGACTCGCATCATTGTCGATGGACCACTAAACAATACAAACACGAAGCCATACCTTCAACCTCCTTCTGGCGTTAAACTCTCGGATTTTCTCCTGGGTTTCGATGAGATGGTCACCTTTTGCGGCCGTGCCAATTACCCAAGGGTGTCGGAGAGCTGCGTCTACTGACAATCTCTTCCTGGGATCTTTTTGTAATAATCTTGTAATAAAATCCTGTAAGTACATGTAAGTAGACAAAGCATGAAGGTACGTTTATATTTGTGTACTTACTTGTAACGGAAAACTCAGATATGTCATTAATAGTAGGCTGATGAATTAATACCGACGTATATACAATATTTCGATGACTCTTTTTGACAAAGATAAATAAAAATACAGTATCAGCGTAAGGTCAACTTCATTCAAATGAAGTTAAGTTATGCACTTTCTCCCTGAATATGCACTTAAAAGTTTAATATAATAATAATGAAATAAAGTACAAATTCGTCATTATGCAACGAACATTTCTGCAAATACTATCTTTAATAGAAAAGATCAAGTACTGGGAAAACTCAGGGTCCATATTCATGAAACCGTTCTCATGATCAAACATTGATTCTGTGCTCAAATCAGTTTTCTTGTCACTCCCTTAAATCATGTCAAATGATCAAAAACGTCAAATGTAAATATTGAAAACCTTATGCTTTTTTGAGTCTCTTCAAATTTTTCCGAAGCATTGACAAATTAGGCTTTTTTATTGATTTATTACTGAAACAAGAAATTAGGCTTAAAATCCATACTTGAGCATAAGAACGATTTCATGAATACGGGCTCAGGTGATCAAGGAGGCGAAACCTCCTTTCTTATTGTGTTAAGTCAATAGTACTAACCTTTGCATTTTCGCTTATTTTCGACCAGACTGTCGGATCAAACTTGTAATCTACTTTGAGAATTTTCTTGTATATCTCGCCAACATCATGATTTACGCTTTCGAATGGTTCAACACCGCATAGTCTGGGGAAAAAAGATGTTATAGTGCATATTGTAGATATATTTTTTAAAATACATCCATGTCATGTAAATTTCATGTCATGTTATGACTCGCCTATGTTATGTAGCATTGTATATGAATCATCATACTACACACTGTGAGCCATCTTATACATTTATTGTGTCATAATGTACGCAACAGTTATTTGATAAAATATATAGTCTTAATGTAATATAATATTTATACACTGTCCACGAAATATTTTTGTTATATATTATATTTATATGAGTCGTTTTAAATTGTCCTCACGGTAAAAGCAATGTTGGATATGATATAAAGTATATGCTATACTCTATATCAGCTGTATCGAGTGTCCATTTTAAGACTGTTAATATTTATTCGGGAGATATTATTTATCTATATTAACTATTACTGTATAATGTTATATTAACCACTTGTGTATTGTTATATTAACCACAACTATATTGCTATATTAACCACTACTGTATTGTTATATTAACCACTTCTGTATTGTTATATTGACCACTACTGTATTGTTATATTAACCACTACAGTATTATTATATTAACCACTGCTGTATTGTTATATTAACCACTACTGCATAATGTTATATTAACCACTACTGTATAATGTTATATTAACCACTACTGTATAATGTTATATTAACCACTACTGTATAATGTTATATTAATCACTACTGTATTGTTATATTAACGTCTACAGTATTGATATATTAACCATTACTGTATCGTTATATCATAACCATTACTGTATTGTTATATCAACCACTACTGTATAATGTTATATTTACCACTACTGTATTGTTATATTAACCACTTCTGTATTGATATATTAACCACAACTCTATTGCTATATTAACCACTTCTGTATTGCTATATTAACCACTTCTGTATTGTTATATTAACCACTACTGTATAGTTATATTAACCACTACTGTATAATGCTATATTGACCACTACTGTATTGATATATTAACCACTACTGTATTGTTATATTAACCACAACTCTATTGCTATATTAACAACTACAGTATTGTTATATTAACCACTATAGTATTGTTATATTAACCACTGTTGTATATTGTTATATTAACCACTACAGTATTGTTATATTTACCACTACTGTATTGCTATATTAACCACTACAGTATTGTTATATTAACCACTACAGTATTGTTATATTAACCACTATTGTATATTGTTATATTAACCACTACAGTATTGTTATATTTACCACTACTGTATTGCTATATTAACCACTACAGTATTGTTATATTAACCACTATTGTATATTGTTATATTAACCACTACAGTATTGTTATATTAACCACTGTTGTATATTGTTATATTAACCACTACATTATTGTTATATTTNCTTAAAGCCTTGTTATGGTCCGCTTGTAACGAATGTTTTTGTAACCCACGCATATATAACATTTCATTGTAACCCACGCCTATATAACATTTCATTGTAACCCACGCCTATGTAACATTGTATTGTAACCCACGCCTATATAACATTTTATTGTAACCCACGCCCATGTAACATTTTATTGTAACCCACGCCCATGTAACATTTCATTGTAACCCACGCCTATATGACATTTCATTGTAACCCTCGCCTATATCACATTTCATTGTAACCCACGCCTATGTAACATTTTATTGTAGCCCACGCCCATGTAACATGTTATTGTAACCCAGGCCTATATAACATTTCATTGTAACCCACGCCCATGTAACATTTAATTGGAACCCACGCCCATGTTACATTTCACTGTAACCCACGCCTATATAACATTTCATTGTAACCTACGCCTTTATAACATTACATTGTAACCCACGCCTAATTAACATTTTATTGTAACCCATGCCTTTATAACATTTAATTGTAATCCACGCCTATATACCATTTTATTGTAACCCACGCCTACATAACATTTTATTGTAACCTACGCCAATATAACATTTCACTGCAATCCACGCCCATGTTACATTCACTGTAACCCACGCCTATATAACATTTTATTGTAACCTACGCCTTTATAACATTACATTGTAACCCACGCCTAATTAACATTTTATTGTAACCCATGCCTTTATAACATTTAATTGTAATCCACGCCTATATACCATTTTATTGTAACCCACGCCTATATAACATTTTATTGTAACCTACGCCAATATAACATTTCACTGCAATCCACGCCCATGTTACATTTCATTGTAACCCACGCCTATATAACATTTTATTGTAACCCACGCCTATATAACATTTTATTGTAACTTACGCCAATATAACATTTCACTGCAATCCACGCCTATGTAACATTTTATTGTAACCCACGCCCATATAACGAATGTCTTGGTAACCCAGGTTTATACAATGTATGCGTTGGAACCCGTGCTTATATAACGCATGGTTTTGCAATACACGTTTACCGGTACGTAACGAACGACTATGTCACTGACGTCTATAGAAATATATAATAACGTTCACCAGCTATGATACATATGATATATGTTTTGTACTTACGAACGTATCCCGGTGACTCGCAGACAGAGTTAGATCTCACATCACCAGCTATTATACGGTGCAGAGCGAAGTCGGCTGTAACATACATACATTTATCACCAACAACGGTACAAGACTCTGTCACACTTCGCTAAAACGTGATATTGTACCAGCAGGAGACATTATATGCAACATAGCTGGTACGAGGGCAGGCTATACAACAAATATAAAAACATTTATTCATAAATGTTTGTCTATACATACCAAAAAAAGTGTATTTTTTTAAAACTATTCTCTGTATACATAAAATAAAACAAGTTATCTGAGTTAGAACAATAGAAATAGATACCTTGACATGAATGAAAGAATTTGTTCTAGACTTGTGCCGTTACTATTGACACACTTATACCGTTACTTACTTATCGGTCCAATTAAATGACAGACTTGTATATTAGCAATTATACTTAATCTTGTGATCAGGAAACTGTTTTTTAACATTTCTGATAACAGAGACAATAAAACCCTTTTCTCTCTAAAACAACTACTAAAAACAACAAGGGCTAGTGTTATACCAGCTACTTAGTATACGTGTCGATCTACACGCTCCCCGAAAACAAGGACTGATAACAAAACCATTACTTAGTACTTATATACAGCATCTAATGGACAACAAAAAGAACATAGTTTATTTAACACACTGGTCATCAGGTGTCCTTTGTAGCAGATATGTGTTTGTATGCGTACGGGTGTACTTGTCTGGTGCGGGGGTCTACAGGTGTGAGTATATGTGTTGGGTTTAAAGCTACGATTCTGTGTATAATTTTGTAAAAAAGGATAATTCTAGTGTATAAGCGTCGTGTTTGTAGTGTTGGCCATTGAAGTGTGTGGATCATGTCTGTTACGGAACTAGTGTTGTGGTATCTGCTGTGTACGTAGCGTGCTGCTCTTCGTTGTGTTTTTTCTATTTGTTTAATTTGGTTTGTGTTGTGTGGATCCCAAATGGAAGAGCAGTATTCAAGTTTAGGCCTAACTAGTGCTTTGTATGCATGTTCTTTTATATGTGGTGAGTTTATTTTCAGGTTGCGTTTGAGAAAACCTAGGGACCTATTGGCATTGGCTGTGATATTGTTTATGTGCCACTTTTGGATATAGCTTTATTGTCATACCCACCTAATTTCAGTTTTGAATGGTCTTTGTTGCTTTCATACAGAAGATTTTCAGGCTGAAAAGAGTATAAATGTTGATTTAACAAGTGTAATGATTTAATGTGAATATTATTGTGTAACTGTATTCATGTAATTTGAATGATTAACTGGATAGGTTATACACATGAAAAAGGAAAAGTGCAAACTTTAATTTATCGAAAAACAGTTAGCATCACAATGTAGGAAAGCATTATTCTCATTAATTTCGGCTTGTGTACCAATGTTTTTAAATTTTTCCACATTATTGAGTCTCTTTGACACATCTGTAGGAAGTGTGGCGGGATATAGTAGTGAAGTATGGGGATTCCATACAGCCCCTGACATTGAGAGGGTACAATTAGATTTTTGTAAAAATATTCTTGGAGTTAAACTGTCGACACCAAATGCTATGGTATACTTTGAACTGGGGAGGTTCCCATTGTCCCTCTTACGCAAATTAAGAATATTTAAATACTGGTGTAAGTTAACCCCTATCAACAGTTGTATTTTAAAAGGATGTTACGAGTACATGTACAACGAATGTGGGGCTAATCCAAATTGTAAAAAACTGGGTTGCGAAAGTCAAACACGAGCTCTACTCATTAGGTATGATGGACATTTGGGTTTCCCAACATATTATAAATGCAAACAATTTTATATATATTGTTAAACAACGTTTATTAGACAATTTCAAGCAAAAGTGTGAGACTTTTTTTGTTTCGCCACCAAAATGTGTTTTATACAGGCATATTGTAGATCACTTAGCATTGCAAACTCATCTTTCAAAACCAATTCCTGCCTATTATATAAAAGCTATTGTTAGATTACGTTTAATTTCACATTGTCTTCTTATCGAATCAGGCAGACACACCCATGTTCCACGTCAGCTTCGAACTTGCCTTGTGTCTTAATGACATCGAGGACGAATATCATTTCATGTTAAAATGCCCCTTGTATAATGATTTGAGAACCAAATATATTAAGCCCTATAATCGAATAAATCCCTCCGTCTTTAAATTAGTTATATTTCTATCATCTGTAAATACGAAAGAATTGTGTAATTTAGGAACATTTGTCCATCAACGAACATATTACGAGCAAACTATTTAGTAGATAATTAAATATTGTATTAATGGAATGGCCCTGGAAATATTTGTTGTAATTAAGTTTAATGCAAAGGTTGTATCTATAAACTGTATCAGTTTACGATCAATAAAGAATTACAAAACTTGATCAGACCTGGATTCGAATCCCGGACTTCCGACCTTTAAATTGTAGATGGGCAATTTCTCCAACTAAGCTACATGTACTTTGTCTCAGGCGATTAATCCAAATCAGTTCCGGTACATTCCTCTCTTATTTAACAAAATAATTTGACGCCAAATAGTCAGAAAGAAAATGACAACGACAAGTACCGGTTTTACGAACTATACAAAGTCATTAGTGAATGACCCAGATCGGTTCTGTTACAAATGTCTTGTGCACTTAAAACACATAACAAACCAGTGTATAATGTATTCTATCTAAACTAGTTTTAGGTTTATAGGAGGATGTGCCCTGAAATACTGTACAATGGCTATCTCTGAACTAGTGTATGTTGAAAGCATGTAGTTGATATATACATTGTATAAATTATCAATGTATATTTATGATGTACTTATATTGTTTAAGAAGAGTTACATTGTGCACGTGTAAATTAAAACAAACTGTTCAACCTACCTTCACGTCAAAGTGGACCACTCCATTATCGTGCATGCACTACAACCGAAAACACACTTTTCTTGACAAGTTGACTAACTTTATAACAAACTCAGTGCTTTCAATTATGAAAATATCTCTTAACATATCAATCAACTTTAGAATAGCACTGATTGGCATCAAGCTGCTCGAAGTACATATTCACTTTGAACTAACTCACATTTATCTCAACACCTGATAAAAAATTGTAACATGTTGAATGATTGTTTTACGTTATCTCCCATGTTATATGTCATTACCTCAATTATATTATATTATACGTCATTACCTTAAGCGCTCTAAGTGTATCTCATGTTATACGTCATTACCTTAAGTCTATTATATTATACGTCGTTACCTTAAGTGCTCTCAGTATATCTCGTGTTATACGTCATTACCTTAAGTGCTCTCAGTGTATCCCTCGAGCTCATGTTATACGTCATTAACTTGAGTGCTCTCGGTATATCTCTCATGTTATATGTCATTACTTTAAGTGCTCTCAGTATATAACTAATGTTATACGTCATTACCTTAAATGCTCTCAGTATATCTCTCATATTATACGTCTTTACCTTAAATACTCTCAGTATATTTCTCATGTTATACGTCTTTACCTTAAGTGCTCTCAGTATATCTCTCGTGTTATACGTCATTACCTTAAATGCTCTAATTATATCTCCCATGTTATACGTCTTTACCTTAAGTGCTCTCAGTATATCTCTCATGTTACACGTCATTACTTCAAATGCTCTCAGTATATCTCTCGTGTTATACGTCATTACCTAAAGTGCTCTCAGTATATCTCTCGTGTTATACGTCTTTACCTTAAGTGCTCTCAGTATATCCTTCGTGTTATATGTCATTACCTTAAGTGCTCTCAGTATATCTCTCATGATAAACGTCATTACTTTAAATGATCTCAGTATATCTCTCATGCTACACGTCATTAACTTATGTGTTCTCAGTATATTTCCATGTTATACGTCATTACTTCAAATGCTCTCAGTATATCTCTCGTTTTATACGTTATTATCTTAAGTGCTCTCAGTATTTCTCTCATGATATACGTCATTACCATAAATGCTCTCAGTATATCTCTCATTCTACACGTCATTACCTTATGTGCTCTCAGTATATCTCGTGTTATATGTCATTACTTTAAGTGCTCTCAGTATATACCTAATGTTATACGTCATTACCTTAAATGCTCTCAGTATATCTCTCATGTTATACGTCATTACCTTAAGTGCTCTCAGCAGATCTCTCATGGTATACATCATTACCTTAAGTGCTCTAATTATATCTCTCATGTTATACGTCTTTACCTTAACTGCTCTCAGTATATCTCTCATGTTACACGTCATTTCTTCAAATGCTCTCAGTATATCTCTCTTGTTATACGTCATTACTTCAAATACTCTCAGTATATCTCTCGTGTTATACGTCATTACCTTAAAAACTCGAATTATATTTCTCATGTTATACGTCATTACCTTAAGTGCTCTCAGTATATCTCTCATGTTATACGTCATTACCTAAAGTGCTCTCAGTATATCTCTCATGATAAACGTCATTACTTTAAATGATCTCAGTATATCTCTCGTGTTATACGTCATTACCTTAAAAACTCTAATTTTATTTCTCATGTTATACGTCATTACTTTAAATGCTCTCAGTATATAACTCATGTTATACGTCATTACCTTAAATGTTCTCAGTATATCTCTCGTGTTATACGTCATTACCTAAAGTGCTCTCAGTATATCTCTCGTGTTATACGTCATTACCTTAAATGCTCTAATTATATCTCTCATGTTATACATCTTTACCTTAAGTGCTCTCAGTATATCCCTCATGTTACACGTCATTACTTCAAATGCTCTCAGTATATCTCTCGTGTTATACGTCATTACCTTAAAAACTCTAATTTTATTTCTCATGTTATACGTCATTACTTTAAATGCTCTCAGTATATAACTCATGTTATACGTCATTACCTTAAATGTTCTCAGTATATCTCTCGTGTTATACGTCATTACCTTAAAAACTCTAATTTTATTTCTCATGTTATACGTCATTACTTTAAATGCTCTCAGTATATAACTCATGTTATACGTCATTACCTTAAATGTTCTCAGTATATCTCTCGTGTTATACGTCATTACCTAAAGTGCTCTCAGTATATCTCTCGTGTTATACGTCATTACCTTAAATGCTCTAATTATATCTCTCATGTTATACATCTTTACCTTAAGTGCTCTCAGTATATCCCTCATGTTACACGTCATTACTTCAAATGCTCTCAGTATATCTCTCGTGTTATACGTCATTACCTAAAGTGCTCTCAGTATATCTCTCGTGTTATATGTCATTTCCTTAAGTGCTCTCAGTATATCTCTCATGATAAACGTCATTACTTTAAATGATCTCAGTATATCTCTCATGCTACACGTCATTAACTTATGTGCTCTCAGTATATTTCCATGTTATACGTCATTACTTTAAATGCTCTCAGTATATCTCTCGTGTTATACGTTATTATCTTAAGTGCTCTCAGTATTTCTCTCATGATATACGTCATTACTTCAAATGCTCTCAGTATATCTCTCATTCTACACGTCATTACCTTCTGTGCTCTCAGTATATCTCTCATGTTATACGCCATTATCTTAAGTGCGCTCAGAATATCTCTCATGTTATACGTCATTACCTTAAGTGCTCTCAGTATATCTCTCATGATAAACGTCATTACTTTAAATGATCTCAGTATATCTCTCATGCTACACGTCATTAACTTATGTGCTCTCAGTATATTTCCATGTTATACGTCATTACTTCAAATCTCTCAGTATATCTCTCGTGTTATACGTTATTATCTTAAGTGCTCTCAGTATTTCTCTCATGATATACGTCATTACCATAAATGCTCTCAGTATATCTCTCATTCTACACGTCATTACCTTATGTATTCTCAGTATATCTCTCGTGTTATACGTTATTATCTTCAGTGCTCTCAGTATATGTCTCATGTTATACGTTATTATCTTCAGTGCTCTCAGTATATGTCTCATGTTATACGTTATTATCTTAAGTGCTCTCAGTATTTCTCTCATGTTACACGTCATTACTTTAAATGCTCTCAGTATATCACTCATGTTATACGTCATTACCTTAAATGTTCTCAGTATATCTCTCGTGTTATACGTCATTACTTTAAATGCTCTCAGTATATCACTCATGTTATACGTCACAACCTTAAGAGCTTTCAGTATATCTCCCATGTTATACGTCTTTACCTTAACTGCTCTCAGTATATCTCTCATGTTATACGTCATTATCTTAGGTGCTCTCAGTATATCTCCTATGTTATACGTCATTACCTTAAGTGCTCTCAGTATATCTCTCATGATACACGTCATTACTTCAAATGCTCTCAGTATATCTCTCGTGTTATACGTCATTACCTTAAATGCTCTAATTATATCTCTCATGTTATACGTCTTTACCTTAACTGCTCTCAGTATATCACTCATGTTATACGTCACAACCTTAAGTGCTTTCAGTATATCTTCCATGTTATACGTCTTTACCTTAACTGCTCTCAGTATATCTCTCATGTTATACGTCACAACCTTAAGTGCTTTCAGTATATCTCCCATGTTATACGTCTTTACCTTAACTGCTATCAGTATATCCCTCATGTTATACTTAATTACCTTAAGTGCTCTCAATATATCCCTCATGGCTTCGGCTGCATCTTTTTCTGAGAAGGAACCTCGGGCAACGATTCTGGATAGAAGGATATATAATTACCAGACATATATTTATTTTTTTATATTGAATCATATGTTAAGATTGAAAAGTTTCACATATAATCAAGTTGCATTTCTTAGTACGCAAATACAGTCGATTAAATTTAACTATCAAAAATGTGTTTTACCCAAGCATCTCATTCAGTCTTGAAACATGTGGTTTTCACTGGTATTTGTTTCGACATAATACGAGATTGTTTTAAATAAATATCTATATCACATGTATAGAACCTTTTTACTTAATTGGTGAATAATGAAAATGCACGTTGTATATTTAGGTGCACAATTTTGACTTCAACAACATGTTTGATGTGTTGGGAGGGACCACTGACCTGTCAAAAAGTTCTCCCCCGGTGACAAGCTCCATCATCAGGTAGATATGGGTCTTCGTCTCGTACAGTTCTGTGATGTGTATCTAAACAACAATTATGCGAAAATTGTTCTGCTATGCATGACAAATGAAATGTTTGCTCTAGTTGTTGGAAACAATACAATAACTGAGAATGTCATAATAAACTTATTATAGTGTAAAAGTGACAAATGTCCGCAGTTATCAAATATACCTCAGGAAACCAAGAATTATAATTAAAACGTGCTTAATGACGCAGGCATTTTTTATTACTCACATCATATGGGTATCTCAGATGTTGGATATTTTCACTTACAATATTGTGATGTCTCTGATATGGAACATTTATATTATCGATTTTTTTTATTTTTTTTCTCTCTAAATAATCACGATGATATCTCAGATTTAAGATAGATTACTAATATCTGATGATATATGCTAGATATTTCACTTAAATCTGATGAGATATGCTAGATATGTCACTTAAATCTGATGATATATGTTAGATATTTCACTTTTACTATCGATGGCTGAGTTACATGATACGCACAAAATTGGATGTTTCAAGCCATGGACGTTAGCTTAATCATATGCTAGATATTTCACTAATAATCTGATGATATTTGCTAGATATTTCACTTATTGTCTGATGATATTTGCTAGATATTTCACTTATTGTCTGATGAGATATGCTAGATATTTCACTTAAATCTGATGAGATATGCTAGATATTTCACTTATTGTCTAATGAGATATGCTAGATACTTCACTTATTGTCTGATGATATATGCTAAATATTTCACTTATAACCTGATGATATTTGCTAGATATTTCACTTATTGTCTGATGAGATATGCTAGATATTTCACTTAAATCTGATGAGATATGCTAGATATTTCACTTATTGTCTAATGAGATATGCTAGATACTTCACTTATTGTCTGATGATATATGCTAAATATTTCACTTATAACCTGATGATATATGCTAGATATTTCACTTATTGTCTGATGAGATATGCTAGATATTTCACTTAAATCTGATGAGATATGCTAGATATTTCACGTATTATCTGATGATATATGCTAGATATTTCACTTTTACTATCGATGGCTGAGTTACATGATACTCATGCACAAAATTGGATGTTTCAAGCCATGGACGTTTATTTAAATCACTGAGATTTGCTAGATTTAGGAGATTTACTTAAATTATCGGGCTTCTTAAGTTTAGGCGATTTATAAGATCTTAGTAATTTACTTAAAATGTTATATTATTTATGGTTTCGTAGATTTACTTACAACATTGGGATGTCTTATGTGTAGGAGGTTTCCAACATCTGCTGGTACCACTTTCCGGTTTTTCTGAAATTCAAAATACACAGACACACGCTAGATTACGCCATATTTGATTGTTAACATGGATAATAGCGATATCATTTAACTGAAATCAATTTACTAGCGGGTATCTATTAACAATATGCTGGTCTGTAGTTTACTAAGTATACTACACACTTAACATTTATATGTTATAAAGAGTAAGATAATAATATACATCTACTGTCATTATTCTGTACAAAAGCATCGTCTTTAATGTGGATATATACTGAGGTGAACACGTATACATGCGTCTGTTTCAGGTATTTATTATTTTTATTAATAGCACGTATTGACTTATCTGACACGATCATCACAACTCGGTCCGCAGTGGTCATACATTAAATTCAGACTTTTAGTACAATTTACATTGGTACAGACTCCAACAACACTTCGAGTCTATACGAATAGGAAAAGGTAATATTGTCAGTAGTTAAATAATTCAGTAGTTCCGAGACAGTGTTTAACGTAACAATGTACAGCTTTATAATTAAAGACAAAAACATAGAAATTCAAGTATTTGATTAAAATGCCTAGGGAAGCTGATATTGAGACATGTTTCAAGACTTCGTAAATACAATTAATTACCGCCGTTCACACTGAAATATTTTGCTGTTACCCTAGATGTGCACGAGTTGGCCCTTTATTTAGGCGTAGTATATGTGTCGGTTAATTAACGTTTTAAGAATGGTTGTTGTATTTGTTTAAAGGGATCCAAATACAATGACAGATCATACAGGGTATAACATAAATGTGTGGTATATTGAGCCTGTCACTTAGTAAACAACAATACAAGTCGATATTTTGGTATATTATACAGGACTCCATGTACAACGCTTCTAAAGGCCACTGTCGTTACTATGGGTTTTATGTGGTATCATTGTTAGATTGTATTCATTATGAACGTATTTTTACTTGAGTTTACGAATGTTTATTTAATCGTTATGTATTATATAGTAACACACCTGTTTAGGGATTTTCTTCACTGCATACGCCTTTTTAGTTCCAACGTGCTCACATCTGTATACCACCGCACTTGTCCCCCTGACGAATAAAGAAACAACATAATCAAGATATATTGCATAATGAAAAAGAATAACATACAAAACAATTAGAACATAACGGACACTGAACCAAAATGAAACACATCATCAACCCAAAAAACTCGAAAGGGGCGATACATAGGAACATGTAATTCAACAACAATACAAAGTGAACAGGTCTGTTAGCATAGCAGAGACTGTAATAAAAACAAATCAATAATCGAATAATCTTAAATGTGTTTAAAAAAACCTACCTTCCCAGTTCTGTGCCAATTGTATATAGGTCCTCAAACTGGGTGTCCCTAATACTTCCTGATATCCAGTACTCTTCATGGTGGATTTTCTCCTGCATGCTGCTAGATATGTCCGGTGTTTATTTGTTGTCTTAATTCTCGTTAAGATTCTGTCGTCATCACGTGGTTAAATATAAACGCGTGCGTTAGAGCGGTTGTTATGAACTCAATTAAGTCAGAAAAGGCAAATAACAAAAAAACCATCAATTCTTCCTTTACCTGAAAGTTTTTATCAAATTTATGTTAAATAACGTAAAATTTGTTTGTTCTTCACGTTTTGTCCTTATGTTTGTACACTCAAGTGATTATTGTACTATCCCTTGGTTAATCCACCTCAACCAAAGACATCTATTTGAGAACTAGCCAAACTGAATGAAATAATCATTTTTACCATTGAGACCACATATATCTTACTGTTTAACTTAAATGTCAGTGAAATGTAAAATTTGACATAACCAATACATTACCTTGAGATTAAGACATAATGGTTGGTAGGAAAATGTCGATCAAGCCGTGTAAATTCAGGTGGTCGCCAGTAAGACGTGGTCATTCATACACTATTGATTAGATTCCCAGCGATCTAATTAACCTATACAGCTACGTTATACGTGCGGTATATTGGATCTGATTAACGCTTACAGGTAAGGTATAGGTGTGTTATGCACTGTGAAGACGAAGGGATAAGATTGTAAACGTTTTATACATAAAACAAAATCAGCTCCATAAATAGGTCGGATCCTTTGTTTCAATTTAAACTGCCAACGTCATACGAGTAGAGGTCAGAAAATGGGTGTCATTTACTGGTGACATTACAATAGACACGACGCTAAAGAGTACTGTGGCACGATTGAGAGAAAAGTAACTTTTGATCAATTTAAGATAGAGACATACCAATTAATGCTAAAACATATCAAATGTCAGTAATGCTGGTTTGTTTGATAAATTACGTAGATGTTTGAGAGTAGTTCAGGATTTGTTATATTTTAAAAATTGTTTGATATTTACCGGTTCCCGTTCACTGCTATTTATCAAACAGGCATTTGCTTGATTTCTTTCCTGTTTATTGTTTCATTTATGTTCGAAATGTATACATAATCCATTAATCATTGCGCTAAATGAATGCTTGAGAGGAATTCGAGAGAATACCAAAGTATAAAGCGAACCATGATTTAAACACAATAGCGATTAAAGGAGGGGAAATATGAATAGTTGAAGTATTTACACTGAGACTATTAACTGAGTATAAGGAGAATAAAAACACGTGTTCCAGACGGGTAGGCGTCTTTTGCTTCTTCGTTGACACCCACTATATAAATTAATATCAAATCCAATTGTGACACATGCCCTCAAAGAGAAAACTATTTGATGTAACAGCTAAATCATTTGGCTATCATTGTGTTTTACCTTACTAAAGCTTGACTAGATGGTTGCCATATAACATACGAAGAGACAGCTCTTTATATTCTTGGTAAATTGAAAAAAATATCAATAGAAAGTTCACCTAGTAAAATACTAGTCTAAATAGAAAAATCACTTTGCCGGCTATATTCTCCTCATCATGGTATGACAGGGTGGATTTTGACCCCGTATGAACGCCCAGGTGTGATCGAAGGGAAGTAAATCCAATCATACTATAGTATAGAACTATTGGTGTGTCTGTGTCATGTTTCGTTGTACGTTTACTCAGTGTTCCCCAGTCATTCCGATGATGAAACAGAAAACAAGAACCGGATCGTAAATACTGAACAAAAGGAACCATGATGGCTCAAAAACAAAACAAAACGAAACATCATGAACTCATTGAAAATAAGGGTGAAGTCTAACGCCCGGGAGGTTAACCAACATACCGCGATACTTTGAAGTCTGACCTATAAACTCAAAAAGCAAGAGAGTTTGTCATTTTGATACGTTTAGGGAAAGGAAAGTGGACGAAATTGGGAAATATTAGCCTGTTCTTATAAAATGGTATTGAGCTGACAATTAATAGTCTCTTTCAATCAGCTCGTTGAGGGTAAATAATACTGTGAAACATGGTAATAAAAACCGCTCAAGGAGTCAGATAAAATAGTCTTAAAGTTGTTCTGAACAGGTGTGCTATATTTATCGAAATTCACGTTATTGAGATTCAAAACACATTTATTTCGGTATAACTGGAAATTTTCGCCGCATTTCAATTTCCGCAGTTTTCACCCTCTGTAGCTAAAGCAAAGAATATCAATCAAATGTAAACAACCTAATACAAACACTGTAGCGATTCAATGTGAAGAGCGAAATTAAAACCTAAGTAAATATGGATTTTATCGGCGAAGGGCGAAATTTTCAAACCATTTAGTGTATCTGAATGTGCAAATAATGGATAAAAGTAAAAATATTGATGATGATGATGTGAAGGAGGAGTAGGAAGAGGAGGAGGAGGAGGAGGAGGAGGAGGAGGAAACTGTGTGAAAACCACTGCATCGCCAACACCCATGGACAAAACAGGAAATCAATGTGGATATATAAGACCAGGAACTAATGGGACACCAAAACCAAACAGAAATGAACCTAACCAAAACGACCGAAGGAAATGTCATGTGTTCCATGGGTAATTTATATGGGTGATCTAGTGTTCCCTGGATTTAGCCTTATAGTTTTGAAGCTGGGGTTATTTTATTTAAATACAGTAGAACTATACATTGACATAGGGTTTACGAGTTACTCCCCCTTTAACATTTGTCTCTTTCATAGTTCTCGCATTATGTCAACTGAGTTTATCTAAAGGTTGATGTTAAAACTTTCCAAGTATCTTATGGCCTTTCTTTGTGTATTAAAGGAAGGTTATTACACGGTAAATACTTTCGCGATCGCGTAGATAAATTATGAAAGGAGACAGTATACCTGTACTATTCTAAAATTTCAAACCTTTCGAGGATGTTTTATCCATGAATACTGCGACTTCCTTAAATAAATTGCGTCTCATTTATCTTTCAAATTTCAGAATTAAAGGCATCGGATACATCTCGTTGCACGCTTGACATCTTGGTAACTTACAACAATAATGGTAACCGAATACTGACTGGCAGTTGTTCTTGGATTCGACTGAAGCCATAATGACTGGTGAAAGTGACTGACAGTTCTTGGATTCGACTGAAGTCATAACGACTGGTGATTATGACTGACAGTTGTTCTTGGATTCGATTGAAGCCATAACGACTGGTGATTGTGATTGACAGTTGTTCTTTGATTATACTGAAGCCATCATGACTAGTGATTGTGACTGACAGTTGTTCTTGGATACAACTGAAGCCATAACGACTGGTGATTATGACTGACAGTTGTTCTCGGATTCGACTGAAGCCATCATGACTGGTGATTGTGACTGACAGTTGTTCTTGGATAAGACTGAAGCCATAACGACTAGTGATTGTGAATGACAGTTGTTCTTGGATTCTGCTGTATCCATAACGACTGGTAATTGTGACTGACAGTTGTTCTTGGATTCGACTGAAGCCATTACGACTGGTGATTGTGACTGACAGTAGTTCTTGGATTCGACTGAAGCCATAACGACTGGTTGTTGTGACTGACAGTTGTTCTTGGATTCGACTGAAGCCATTACGACTGGTGATTGTGACTGACAGTTGTTCTTGGATTCGACTGAAGCCATACCGACTGGTGATTATGACAGACAGTTGTTCTCGGATTCGACTGAAGCCATCATGACTAGTGGTTGTGACTGACAGTTGTCCTTGGATTCGACTGAAGCCATACCGACTGGTGATTATGACTGACATTTGTTCTTAGATTCGGCTTAAGCCACCATAACTGATGAGTGTGATTGACAGTTGTTCTTGGATTCGACTGAAGCCATAACGACTGGTGATTGTGACTGACAGTTGTTTTTGGATTCGACTGAAGCCATCATGACTAGTGATTGTGACTGGCAGTTGTTCTTGGATTCGACTGAAGCCATAACGACTGGTGATTGTGACTGAGAGTTGTTCTTGGATTCGACTGAAGCCATCAAAACTTATGAATGTGACTGACAGTTGTTCTTGGATTCGACTGAAGCCATAACAACTGATGATTGTGACTGACAGTTGTTCTAGGATTCGACTGAAGCCATAACGACTGGTTATTGTGAATGACAGTTGTTCTCCCGACTGAAGTCATAACGACTGGTAATTGTGACTGACAGTTGTTCTTGGATTCGACTGAAGCCCTAACGACTGGTGATTGTAACTGACAGTTGTTCTAGGATTCGACTGAAGCCATAACGACTGGTGATTGTGACTGACAGTTGCTCTTGGATTCGACTGAAACCATCAAAACTTGTATTGTGACTGACAGTTGTTCTTGGATTCGACTGAAGCCCTAACGACTGGTGATTGTAAATGACAGTTGTTCTAGGATTCGACTGAAGCCATAACGACTGGTTATTGTGACTGACAGTTGTTCTTGGATTCGACTGAAGCTATAAGGACTAGTGGTTGTGACTGACAGTTGTTCTTGGATTTGACTGAAGCCATAACAACTGGTGATTGTAAATGACAGTTGTTCTAGGATTCGACTGAAGCCATAACGACTGGTTATTGTGAATGACAGTTGTTCTTTCGACTGAAGTCATAACGACTGGTGATTGTGACTAACAGTTGTTCTTGGATTCGACTGAAGCCATCATGACTGGTGATTGTGACTGACAGTTGTTCTTGGATTCGATTGAAGCCATAACGACTGGTGATTGTGACTGACTGTTGTTCTTGGATTCGACTGAAACCATCATAACTGGTGATTGTGACTGACATTTGTTTTTGGATTCGGCTTAAGCCACCATAACTGATGAGTGTGATTGACAGTTGGTTTTGGATTCGACTGAAGCCATCATAACTGATTATTGTGACTGACAGTTGTTCTTGGATTCGATTGAAGCCATAACGACTGGTGATTGTGACTGACAGTTGTTTCTTGATTCTACTGAAGCCATAACGACTGACAATTGTGACTGACAGTTGTTCTTGGACTCTACTGAAGTCACAACGACTGGTGATTGTGACTGACAGTTGCTCTTGGATTCGACTGAAGCCATCAAAACTTGTATTGTGACTGACAGTTGCTCTTGAATTCGACTGAAGCCCTAACGACTGGTGATTGTGACTGACAGATGTTCTTGGATTCGACAGAAGCCATAATGGCTGGCGATTGTGACTGGCAGTTGTTCTTGGATTCGACTGAACCCATAACGACTGGTGATTGTGACTGACAGGTGTTCTTGGATTCGACTGAAGCCATCATGATTTGTGATGATGACGGACAGTTGTTCTTGGATTCGACTAAAGCCATAAAGACTGGTGATTGTGACTGACAGTTTTTCTTGGATTCGACTGAAGCCATTACGACTGGTGATTGTGACTGACAGTCGTTCTTGGATTCGACTGAAGCTATAACTACTAGTGGTTGTGACTGACAGTTGTTCTCGGATTCGACTGAAACCATCATGACTGGGGATTGTGACTGGCAGTTGTTCTTGGATTCGAAAGAAGCCATAATGACTGGCGATTGTGTCTGGCAGTTGTTCTTAGATTCGACTGAAGCCATAACGACCGGTGATTGTGACTGACAGTTGTTTCTTGATTCTACTGAAGCCATAACACGACTGGTAATTGAGACTGACAGTTGTTTTTGGTTTCGACTGAAGCCATAACGACTGTTTATTGTGACTGACAGTTTTTTTTGGATTCGACTGAAGCCATAACGGCTGGTTATTGTGAATGACAGTTGTTCTTTGATTTGCGTGAAGTGACTGAAGCCATAACAACTGGTGATTGTAAATGACAGTTGTTCTTGGATTCGACTAAAGCCATAAAGACTGGTGATTGTGACTGACAGTTTTTCTTGGATTCGACTGAAGCCATTACGACTGGTGATTGTGACTGACAGGTGTTCTTGGATTCGACTGAAGTCATAACGACTGGGGATTGTGACTGACAGTTGTTCTTGGACTCTACTGAAGTCACAACGACTGGTGATTGTGACTGACTGTTGTTCTTGGATTCGACTTAAGCCATAACGACTGGTGATTGTGAATGACAGTTGTTTTTGGATTCGTCTAAAGCCATAACGACTGGTTGTTGTTACTGACAGTTGTTCTTGGATTCGATTAAAGCCATAACGACTGGTGATTGTGAATGACAGTTGTTTTTGGATTCGACTTAAGCCATAACGACTGGTGATTGTGAATGACAGTTGTTTTTGGATGCGACTGAAGCCATAACGACTGGTTATTGTGACTGACAGTGGTGCTTGGATTCGACTGAAGCCATAATGACTGGTGATTGTGACTGACAGTTTTTCTTGGATTCGACTGAAGCCATACCGACTGGTGATTATGACAGACAGTTGTTCTCGGATTCGACTGAAACCATCATGACTGGTGATTGTGACTGACAGATGTTCTTGGATTCGACAGAAGCCATAATGGCTGGCGATTGTGACTGGCAGTTGTTCTTAGATTCGACTTAAGTCATAACGACTGGTGATTGTGAGTGACAGTTGTTCTTGGATTCGATTAAAGCCATAACGACTGGTGATTGTGTCTGACAGTTGTTCTTGGATTCGACTAAAGCCATAAAGACTGGTGATTGTGACTGACAGTTTTTCTTGGATTCGACTGAAGCCATACCGACTGGTGATTATGACTGACATTTGTTCTTGGATTCGACTGAAGCCCTAACGACTGGTGATTGTGACTGACAGTTGTTCTTGGATTCGACAGAAGCCATAATGACTGGCGATTGTGACTGGCAGTTGTTCTTAGATTCGACTGAAGTCATAACGACTGGTGATTGTGACTGACAGTTGTTCTTGGATTCGACTGAAGCAATTAAGGCTGGTGATTGTGAATGACATTTGTTCTTGGATTCGACTGAATCCATAATGACTCGTGATTGTGACTGACAGTTGTTCTTTGATTATACTGAAGCCATCATGACTAGTGATTGTGACTGACAGTTGTTCTTGGATACGACTGATGCCATAACGACTGGTGATTATGACAGACAGTTGTTCTCGGATTCGACTGAAGCCATCATGACCGGTGATTGTGACTGACAGTTGTTCTTGGATAAGACTGAAGCCATAATGACTAGTGATTGTGAATGACAGTTGTTCTTGGATTCGACTGAAGCCATAACGACTGGTGGTTGTGACTGACAGTTGTTCTTGGATTCGACTGAAGCTATAACGACTAGTGGTTGTGACTGACAGTTGTTCTTGGATTCGACTGAAGCCATACCGACTGGTGATTATGACAGACAGTTGTTCTCGGATTCGACTGAAGCCATCATGACTAGTGGTTGTGACTGACAGTTGTTCTTGGATTCGACTGAAGCCATACCAACTGGTGATTATGACTAACAGTTGTTCTTGGATTCGGCTTAAGCCACCATAACTGATGAGTGTGATTGACAGTTGTTCTTGGATTCGACTGAAGCAATAACGACTGGGGATTGTGACTGACAGTTGTTCCTAGATTCGACTGAAGCCATCATGCCCGGTGATTGTGACTGACAGTTGTTTTTGGATTCGACTGACGCCATCATGATTTGTGATGATTACTGACAGTTGTTCTTGGATTCAACTGAAGCCATAACGACTGGTTATTGTGAATGACAGTTGTTCTTGGATTCGACGGAAGCCATAACGACTGGTGATGGTGACTGACAGTTGTTCTTTGATTATACTGAAGCCATCATGACTAGTGATTGTGACTGACAGTTGTTTTTGGATTCGACTGACGCCATCATGATTTGTGATGATGAATTCGACTGAAGCCATAACGGCTGGTTGTTGTGACTGACAGTTGTTCTTGGATTCGACAAAAGCCATCAAAACTTATGAATGTGACTGACAGTTGTTCTTGGATTCGACGGAAGCCATAACGACTGGTTATTGTGAATGACAGTTGTTCTTGGATTCAACTGAAGCCATAACGACTGGTTATTGTGAATGACAGTTGTTCTTTGATTCGAGTGAAGCCATAACGACTGGTGATTGTGACTGACAGTTGTTCTTTGATTCGACTGAAGCCATCATGACTAGTGATTGTGACTGACAGTTGTACTTGGATTCGACTGAAGCAATAACGACTGGTGATTGTGACTGACTGTTGTTCTTGGATTCGACTGAAGTCATAACGACTGGTGATTGTGACTGACAGTTGTTCTTGGATTCGACTGAA